ATGAAGGTCTAGTAAGATAAATGTCTTGTGTCAAGGAGTGTTAGATTCTACAATGGCCGCCAGCCACGAGTTGTTGTGTTTCTATGCCCTTGTTTATTTGTGTTTTTGCCAACTACGCCTTGGAAAACTTGCACTACAAAAGAAAAAATGTTCTAGCCTTTTCGCTAAGCTTCTTTAATAACATATTTTTATAATATTAAAGTTGACCAGAGGAAAAATGTCAATTACTCTATTAAAAAGATATTTTCCCTTTTATATTTACACGCCTCAGCAACTAATACTTATTTGCAACGTTATTAAATTATACAGTGAAACAATTATAAAGGTGATGGGAGAGTTTTATCATAAAATACGATAGATAACTGTTACACATATTTCATTCCGCTTCAAATAAGTCCTTTTTGAAGTTATGTTCGTAAATTCTTTTGTGTATATGTCTTTTCACAAATGTTTGGTTTGCTTTAGATTAACTTAGAAAACCTGTTTAGTTTCGAGAACTGAGGCATCCGTAATTTATTAACTATACCAGCAGTTTTCTCGTTTTAAATGTTTAACATTTTGTCATGTCGAGGTCTTTTATAATTTACTATACGGCAAGGTATTTTTTTTGCTCATTGTTTAAAGGTCGTATGGTAACCTATAAATCTTGTTTACATCTAAGTTATTTGATCTTTTGTATATTCATAAAGCTACGATTAGTAGGTGTTATTCTCTTCCATGTAAATTTGCGTTTCATTATCGCCCAGTTATGTCATCAATAAGCTAAATCCAATTTCTGCAATTACATCCCATATGGAGATTTTTACAAATCACCTGTGAAAAAAATATACGTTTAATTCTTTGCCTATAAGAATGAAGCTTCGAGTTTGATATTACCCTTATCACTTGAGGAAAGCGGATACGCCACGATGTCACAGAAGCATTGGTTCGAATGCCACTCAGGGAAGAACAAAAAATTGAAGATCTAACATTGTTGGGCTAAATTTGAGAACGAGTTATATATATATTATGGTGTTAGCCCTGTATAACCACGTGTTATCTGATGGAGAATGTCTGTCATAAAGTTGTCACATGATTAGACGTGTATAATAAAATTAAAATTTTTGATGTGGCGGCATGGTAATTTACATTATCATCCTTTACGACATACAAAATAGCTGATCTGAAAGGTACACCCTCTACTTGCCACTATACATCATGTACTGTGATACAACCCTAGATAAAGCCGACGAGGAAAGGCATTACATCGACCACCGAAAGCTATATTTTTATGTAGCCTAGGTGGTCGAGTGGTCTAAGGCGCAGGACACGGTGCAGGCGGTGGTGCCACGATGTCACAGAGCAAGGATTCGAATCCCTCTGAGGGAAGAACAAAAATTTGCTAACGCAAATTTGAAGATCTAACATTGTTGGGCTAAATTTGAGACGATATATGTCTCTGATGTAGTATTGGGCAGTGTTGTAAATGTAAATACTGTAAAATTTGATAATACATTTATGAAATGAATAGACTGTAGATTGACATCCTTTACCTAAATACCAAAAGGAGAAAGGAACATATTTATGGTTTTCAGAGATCTTTTCATTGCCATTGGACGTGGGAGATGTAGAAGTGAGATTACTCGATGTAAAATTGTTGATTCAAAGTTTGGTAAAGAGTCAGCCAAAATTATGATTATGCGGGTACAAAGTGTGGTGTAGGATAGACATACCCCCAGATTTTGGTGGAGATCTTGTTGCCTAGTCGTTAGTTTTCTATATAGTGTTTTGTAGACTGTTGTTTGTCTTTGCGTCGTTCTTCTTTCATTGTCATCGTTTTGTCTTTTTCTCTTCGTTTTTTTTTATTATCCCTTTGGCATCGTTTGCCTCTTTTTGCATACGAAAATAATGTGATTAGAGGCTTTATCAGCTAAACCGTATTTATCATGCTATCAAACTATCGGATAAATAATCGATAAGTCTTTAACCATGAAGCATAGTCCCTTAGCACTTTTAAGTTTGTGTTTCACTTGATGGACTGAATTGTGACAACGAATATTTGCTAGATTCTTATTTATATTTCATAGATATTTTATTTCAAATTCTTATAAAGCTTCTGTTCGAGATGAGCTGCATTGAAAATCTTGATATAAATAAATGAATGGCAGCAAATTACGTAATTAAATCTTGTACGTAAATTTTCAATCACTTCTCTATAGTTTTAGCCAGACATTCATATCGTAGAAAGAATTTAAACTTTGTCGCCAGAACTTTTTTTAGTATAAGAATCTCAAAAAGGATGAACAAAAAGAAATCAAAAAGCATTTAACTGAAAACATTTAAAATCAAATCTCTTTTTAAAAGCAATTTTAAATTTTTAGATTCCAAAATAGTATTTGTTCACGCCATTTCAATTTGAAAATTATATATTTTGCTTAGTGATGTAAATTTTGTTTTTCAACGTTTTCATTTTTTTTTTTTTTGCAACATTGGTGATCTAAAAGTAAAAGAAACTTGATTTACCCAAATCCGTATTTGGCTCTAATCTCTAAATTGCAAGAAGAAAGTTGCAAGATGATTACACAATTTCATTGGCATGCCGATACGATGTTTTTTTGATCTGCATATTAGCATAAATAAGATACACTTCATTCTATGTTCATATTTAACATTTGATTACCTACACAATTTTCAAATTAGAAGCCATGTAACTGTGACTTTATTTTGCTCTGATAAATTGATTGAATATGTTGGCAAAAAATTCATGCAAATTCAGGTATAGTTATTTGGATAATTAAAAAAACCATTGTGATGCACATGCATTATCGACTATACTTCTAAACTGGGGACTGATATTTAAGTAAAGATACTAACCTGGACTTAATGGGAAGGGTTTAACGCTTCAAAAATTCAAAAACGTTTGGTGCCGAGCTAGCGTATCTGATGAAATGTATTCTAAAAACAAGTGCGTTGATACTAGAATCGGCATAGAACCACTAGTTGTGTACCCTTTTGTGAAATTTGGTCCCCAGGGAAACCAACCGTCCAGTTGTCAGTTCATCGAATCTTCTCTCATTGGATAATGCTGTTGGCTAAAAACTATTTTTTTTTATTTTTTAAATTATTTCAGGGAATAAGAAATAAAGGCGCCTTCATGATAGCTTATTTGTTTCGTTGTTAGCTATGACTCTCAACTCATACGTGCAAAATCACTCACTGGGTAAATTCCTTTATTCGTACTTGGCATATTCTATTTAAATTGTCCATTTTTATCTACTGATGAACAGTTAGAGGGTCATTTTATTGGAACGGGAGTTTACTTGTAGAAATTTAAGAGAAAAAAACAGTATTTTTCCATCTAGCATTTCATGATAATAACATAGTAAGTAAAGCAAACAATTCTAAGATTTGTCCATTTAATTTTGCTATCTAGTTAAGTAAATGAAAATAGCTCTTTTACTACATGTATCATAATACAATCGGCTGATTCTGTATATTTTATCAACATTAGTTTGCTAATTGAGAAGATTTGAAGAATATAATTAGATAGTTAATCTTTTTTCTACATTTAGATTTTTTGATAAAGAAATATTATTGCCAATTTTACTATATACATGTATATGTAAGATATTGCAATATAAAATTTATTTGAAAGAACAATTATACCGACATTTAGAGTAAAAATGTTTGATTACATTCTTTGATATCCTATTTTGCAGTTAGGTTCTATCACCTGTAGTAACAATAGTAACCTCTATCTGGTTTGATCATTTTTTTTGTGAGATTTTGGATGATTTTTTTTTTTTTTTTTGCTTTTGCTTTTGTTCGTTTGTTTTTGTTGTTGTTGTTGTTTTTTATTTTTATGTTATTTGGTATTACCACCGATCGAGATAATAAGACAGGGTCAAACACAAGAAAAAGTCAACCACTCCTCATGTTTATACGCCTGTTATGATGTCAGGAAACGAGACAATGTCTTTATGTTACATTATCTATCCTTTTGTTGAGAATTTGGTATTGGTGACAGTTGGAGGATATTTTTTGTCAACTTTACTGGCACTTTGTTGAATCTAGGAAGCTTTAATTTCACTATAATCAGATGAAATTTATTTTGAGCTCTTGATACTGCTGTTCTTACATAAGTCAAAAGAATCCATGGAATAAAAAGCTTTTTTCTGAATGCTACATAAATTTAAATTTCTATCTATGTATTATTGTTTTCAAGATAATTGTGCAAAACGTAAGCTGTTGGTTACAATTGTCATTTAAGGGCATTAACTCCAATAAACAGTCGACCAACGATTTCGGCAATATTTTCTTATTTCAAGTTCTTGTCTTGTGATTCATATTTGCTTTCAAAGTTACTCTCTATCTATTGTAGTGTTCACAAAAATAACAGGCAATAACGCATGCAATTATTAAAATCGTCCTTAAGGGCATTAACTCCTATAAGGAGTCAACTGACAAATTCGGCTATTTATTTTATTTGTAAGTTTTGTCTTGCTGATTCTTTGGCTTATTAAAGTTTCTATTTATCTTTGATAGTTTTCAAGATATTGGACAGAAATGAAAAAAAAAATCCCTTAAAATTCGTCATTTCAAGGCAATAGTTCCTATAAGAAGTCGTTTGAAAGATTTGATGTAATTGACAGTAGGTACATCTCATCATTCTGAACATTTGTGCCCTTGTCAGGTATTTTCTGTCTATATTGGTTTTCAAGATAATAGACAAAACTTGGATTTTACCCCTATGTTCAATTTTTAGCCATATCGGTCATGTTGGTTGGCAGGTGGGATCATCGGACCCACTTTTAAAAGAGATATCCAAATGGTAATTATGGCCAAGTTTAATTCCAATTGGCCCATTAGTTTTAGAGGATAAGATTATTTAAAGTTAACAAACGACGGACGACGACGACAACGGACGCCATATGATGAGAGTAGCTCACTTGACCCGAAGACCTAACCCTTCGGGTCAAGTGAGGCAAAAAGTATAATAATGTAAGAAATATGAATCCATGTAGTTTTAGCAAATCAAGCATATTTTAATTGTATAATTTACAGCAACCTTAAAACAATTCATAAATAACCACAAATTCAACAATCAGAGAAAGAGACATTACAACATGGTTCAATGTGTTTGAAGGCCAGATACATATTCTATAAAAGTATTTAATTGTCATTTAAAAAGCAACATTGTAGATATCTTACTGTGAAGGCACTTATAATCCACAAAAGTCAAAATATAAATCCAAGAAAGCATTAGTAATCCTGTTTCTAAAGCTAACAGAAAAGTCTTTTAACAATTAGAGTTATTTCCTATGTTCAATTGGAATAAGCTTGTCTCTCCCTCCCGTTAACGCTGGCAGTGGTGCTTCAATGGTCAATTTCCCCCTTTCGCTCAATTTTGATGTCAAAAACTCTGGTCTTACCTCTTTTGGTATGACATATTGTCTTGCAAATTCACGGTAAGCAGATCTGTTTGGGTCGTTCTTATCTTCATGTCTAGCATGAACGGACAGTTGATTTCCGGTTGTTTTGACCGTAATTTCTTCAGGTTTGAATTGCGCAACATCGAATTCTAGATAAAATTTTCTTGAACCATCACGTTCCTGAGTTATAGGATTGTCCATCCTAAAATTTTCTGTAAGTCGCCAATCGTCGACTGTTGGCAAGATGGGTGGCTGTGCTGGAGCGACTGCTACACTTCGAGTCATACTATCACACATACGTTTCATTTCATCGTTCATTCGCCTCATTTCATGGTCGACGCTACTCGGCATCACTCTGGTTTCTTGCAAAGGTCGCTCATATTCAAATGGAACCGGATCTCTGTATGATGCCATAGATGGTTGCATTGATGTTGAATATCTATAGTCATATGAGGGGAAAGAGTCGTGATAAATCGGCATCCGACGCTCATAAGACATCGGCCAAAAGTCTCTTTCATATCGGATAGGCACCGATCTAGGTAACATTGACATTATGACTGTTGAAGTCGTCAAATCTTATTCCAACTTTACTGAACACTGACAGTTTTTATAGGAAGTCCAATTTAAACAGCTTTATCATCCAAAATCTATTGACGGATTATACAATGATGTCAGGGCTCTCTTTTTATATACTCGTATGAACACTTTTCTGGAACTGTCTTTTCGTGATGTTACAAAAGGTGAATAAAGTAACAAAAATTCTTTGATTGAGATAATGTCCCAAAGCCATTCATTTATATCACCACATAGATCTGGACAGGTAAATAAATCTATTACTGTATGGATATTTCTCCCAGGTAAAAGATGCTCCACAGCAACTGGTGAATCATGTATGTTTATTTTACCTTTGTTTTATTTGTGCGATTTCATTACCTATACCTTTTTAGTAAAGTCATATTCTCAAGAAAAAAATAGAACTTTATTATCCATTAATTGATATGAAATGACGTTGAAATGATACACAACTGCAAAACATCAAATCGTATGAAATAAAATGTGCTACCGTTTTATTTTCTACATAAAATACTGAGAGCTCTTGATGATATACATGTAAGAAGTTTCGTCTACTTTGTTGAAATGATTGTAGCAACCACGACTGGCATCCATGGAACTGATTGAGAAGTGTTGAAACATTTCAAAATGATCATCCAAAAAAAAAAAGACAGTTCGTCATATTCTGATTTTGTGATTGCCCTAGCTTTAAAATCAGCTAGCACATGCTGAATTTGTTTGACACGTGAGATGGTCAAATATTGAATTGCGGCAAAATCGTTTTATTCCAATCATGTACTTCAATGTCAATGTTAGATTGCAGATGCAAAATTCTCTACAACGACTGACCTTGAGACTGTAACCAAACCATCACTTAATATAAATAGATATAAGATGTGGTATGAGTGCCAATGAGACAACTCTCCATCCAAGTCGCAATTTGTAAAAGTAAACCATTATAGGTAAAAGTACGGCCTTCAGCACAGAGCCTTGACTCACACCGAACAGCAAGCCATAAAGGGCCCAAAAAATTACTAGTGTAAAACCAGGAAAACCAACGGTCTAATCTATATACAGAACGAGAAACGAGAAACACTTATGAACCACATCAACAAACAACAACCACTGAACATCAGGTAGCATGAATAACAGAAAACATAAAAACTGGACAGTACAACAGACCACATCAACCACCAACCTCCGACTACACCGAACAAAAGTTCAAACAAAGACAAACAACAACAAACAATACATGGTCCTCAAAGTTTGAATTGGTGCAGGCAAAAAATGTGGTGAGGTAATAACAGTTGTATTTGCATACAAACTTCGCCCTTTTCCTATCTAGACCATGCATGCCATGCGTCCTAAAACATAAAACACACAAAAGAAAACCTGCACAATGCAGCTACCAACAGATTGAACGCTAATTTGAACAAGGAAGTAATAAACGGCACATCATATGGAAAGCATGCTCAAAATGTGCTCGCTACTACAGGAAGCTTGCTAAGGTAGTTGCAGCTTTTGGTTGGATATTGCCGCTAAAGAAAATTAAAAAATCAGAAACAACAATCCTAACAGGTTTAATTTCATAAAGACTCGTTATATATTTTAATCGAAATCGACAGTATCTGTAATTAAGAGGCCAGTACTGTCTTTTGTTCTCTTTGCAACATCATTAATCGAAAAGCTGAGAATGGATTGTTTTTATCTGATTGCAATTATAATTACAATCTATTTTAGAGTAATCAACTAAAGCATGTTGTTGGGTTGTTGTCTCATTGACGTTAACCCGACCTATCCCCAACCACCCCTGCATTGCATGCCTTTTTTTTCGTACCAGATATAAACATGTATCGGTAATCCAAAATATTTGAAATAAAACAAGATATATCTGCCCTCAACTAAATGTAATAGCAACATATGAAACGAGCGGACCATTTGCAGACACAGTTTTCTTCTACTTTTTTATTACGATTCAACTTATAAGTTCAAAATAAAAAAAAAAGAATTTCCTGGAAAATGATGTAAAGCTGGTAAAGAAAGTTTAAATTTTAAAGCGGCACCAAAAATTTCCTCTAGAAATGTTCCAAAATATTAGTCAACATAACTTTTCGTCAGGCTTAACAGTTCTTTTTTTTTGTGAAACTTTCACTGCAGTGGCAGATTCTGCTTGGGTGTAGAGTGCCGGTTCTACCACCCCTTTTTTTTATCGGAAAAAAATATTGTTTGTTGGGCAGGCATAAAATCGTCAAACAAAATTTGCTCCGCTACGCTGGATGTTCTTTTACCACTATGAACAAAAAGTAAACGAAACAGCAAACCAACACCACATAACCCCGTTTAAGACATCTAGCGGTCAAAATACGGTCGTCAACAATAGTCAAGTGTCGTCAAACACTAACTCATCCCCAGTGTAAACTAAATTTGGAATGTATTTACCGTAGATCAACAACGATTTTCAACAACACTAAATACTTTAAAGAACAATAAACTAAGAGTTAACTAAAGAAAAACTGATTACGTCCCTTACTTTGGACAGGAGTGTTAACATGTTTTTGAATACTCAAACCTTCCATCCCCCTTTTTAATTTATGTTGAAGATGAAAAATAATTAAAATCGGGGTGAAAAAAAATATTATAAGTATCATATATCTCGTATATATTTTGCATCACTTGATCGATATTCCCAAGGCTTTGTTGAATACATCTTTAAATATTTAACTTTTATATCTCATTCTTAATCTAACCACATTTGCCCTTGGATATTTAAATGTAAATAAACAATGTATTCTCGGTTGCCCACTAGGCAGCATACAAAAGTACAGGTTAACATGCATTTTTATTTAAATTATTACTATAAATATTTGAATATTAAACGATGTGTTACCTGCATCCGTTGTCCCACTTTCAATTTTTTCTTATATTGAAGCTTGAAAAATTCGCCTTCAATAACTTCGGAATATTTTAACAGAAACTGTTAAGAAAGACCAGGTTTCAGTTGTGTTTTTTTATAATGTTCAGGTGGTCTCTCTTTAGGTTTACTAGAAGCCTGTGTAATCATGTTTAACTTAATGCATTCTCACTGATTTTTTACCGATTAATCTTTTACCAGTTTACCATGTTCACATGAAGCTTGATTCCAAATTTCAGGAAGCTCTAAGTTGCTGAGATAAATGTGACAATAATGTCATATGAAGAACGGACAGAGGTAAACTAGTTTACACCCTCCTTAATAGCGTGGTTAAAATGAGGAGATATAACATGGTCGTTAACTTGCTCACATGAAGCTTGATATCAAATCTCAGGAAGCTCTGATTCGTAGTTCCTGAAAACAACACGACGAAAGTTTCATACAAGGCCATTTTATGTAATGATATTATAAGTTTTCCGTATACAAAGTTTATGAGCGATGGATGTGAAAACGCATCATTCGGTATAACATGCTCACATGAAGTTTGATGCCAAATTTCGAGCAGTTCAGATTATTTGTAGTTCCTAAGAAAATTTCGACAAAAAAATGATACATGACCATTATGTGTAAGAATATACCGTTAGTTTTCCCATTTGGTTTGAGTGACATTTGTCATTTCGAGGCCTTTTATAGCTTACTACACGGTATGGGTTTTGCTCATTGTTAAAGGCCGTACGGTGACATATAGCTGCTATTTTTATGTCATTTAGTTTCTGGTAGAGAGTTGTCTCATTGGCAATCATATCGCTTCTTCTTATGTACAATGCAATTGGTTAACAGGAATGTGATAATTTTATCGATGACTGTAAAAACACATCACACGGTATAGCATGCTCACATGAAGCTTGATGCCAATTATCAAGAAGTTTTGAAGAAAGATGCAAAGAAAATCCCATTGGACGAACTGACAGACAGCGGTATACCAGTATACCTCTCCTTTGGAATTGAGTAAACCAGGAGATTGTATGGTTTTCAACCTCCTACTATCTGAGGTGTTAATAAATGGATGGAATAAACCTGGTTCATAACTTACTTTCTTGATTAATATGTTCAAAACTATGGCCATTTATAATTACAAGACTTTTACAAGAGATGTTATCTTAGTTTTATCTCAAGTTTAAATTAAGCGTTTATAAATCAATAAAAGAAGAGGCTGTGTATTGTCAGTGTGACAGCACATCATGGTACGCCGTATCTATAAGCTGTCATTGTAAATAAAACATATTTATTTCTGTTTTTGAGGTTGGTTTTTTTAATTTTTTTGACAGTTTTTGTGGCCTATTATCTTCGTTTCAATAATAAATGTGCTTTGCCTTTTTAATGGTCTTCGCGATATACATATATCATTTGCGCTAAGGAGGCGCACAGCAAACACCAATCTATCAATTATTCAATCAAACTTTTCAAAGAAATAAAACGCTTAAAATATCTAGACTGTTTCGAGTAATTCATTGCTGTTTGTTACATACATGCAATTTATTTATTTCAGACAAGGATAAATTGTTCACTTTCTTGATGACTGCGCATTACCTAGGGTAATTACTTTGATGATTGTAATTATAAACAGGTGGAAACTATAACATCATAATTTGTCACTTGTAATAGTATCACACCCTGTTGCGATTATTATGCCTCAAGTTGTTTACGAATGCATGTTGCTTGCTATGACGAAAATCCTTTTAAAATCGCACGTTTAACATGTTTAATGAAGTCATGTTACGGTTTAGCACACAAAAACGTTCAGGATCATTCAGGGCGGCTGAACATAGAAATGAGAGAAAGAAAGTGAAAGCTGGGAGAATTTAACCAATTAAACTGTCAACGTATATTTGTTCCGCCTAACAGAAGTTCCACTGGAAACTTTGTTATAAACAATGTCATAATATCTTTTCCTGTTGGAACAAATATTCTATACCATTTATTCCGTTTGGAACATTTACTGTAATATTTATTCCAGTGGAAATAATATTCCAGAATATTGTTTCCATTTGGAATTTATATTATGAAGGAACTTCTATTCCGTGACAAAAAACAATGGGTAAAAAGGTTTGAGATAGGATAAAAGCAATGATTGAGAGCAGAAATGTCGGATGGTACAAGAGAGAAAGATGGTTAGAAAAAAGACAGTTCGAAAGGGAGGTTGGAGTGCTGAAAAGGGAATAAAGCTACGCGGTCGCATTCCGGCCTCTACATAAGTTTTAGTATCTCATTTTAGTATTCATAACTTAATACTTCTTTATGTCAATAATAGATGAAGGAAAAAATGAGAAACATTAATTCATAATGATAAAAACACAGTTGATGCCCATAACAACCGGCCACTAGTGGCATTTTATTCTACTCCATTATTCAAAATATATAAGGGAGTTTTTAATTGCTATTTTGGATTTGATAGCCCGGCATTGTGTCGTCCCCATCCGACGACGAGATAGCATAGCTTTATGAATGTTGTAGAGAGAGGCGGCAAGTTCCTTATCTTCCTTATTGAGACCCACTGTAATCATTCAACGCAGCGTTATAATATATTTACAATAAACGACCATAAAGAAGGGGGGTTATATCAAAAGTGAAATAACATTTTACCAGACAATCATCATTTATTTGTTTGATGCGCCAGAAAGTAAACATCAGTTTGTACATGGTTTCTGTAACTGGGGAAGAAGAAGAAGAAAAAGAAGAAGTAATATAATATAATATAGAATTTGATTATATATGATTGATATGATACCAAGATTTTGTATTTAAATATACATGCAAGTCCTTGATAATACAGAATCTATATGCTATTAGTATCCCATTGGATGGGGACGACACAAAGACTGTTTACAAAGTTTCAATTTGCGTGTTTTCATTTATCTATTTTTTAAAATTACAATCTTAAAATTCTGAAATTTATACTATGAACAGTGTATGTAGCTTACAAAAGACGTTGTCGGCTAATTATAAAATGTCAAATAAGGTACGTTTTAATTCATCCCTTGGCATAGTTTTTATTTGGGTGTTGGTTTAACCTTTAAAGTATTTCTAACAAAACGAATTTACATTTTTTATTAACAAAAAACTTTATTAAATGCCACCAATGATTCTTTGTATTGATACTAAACAGAGGTTAGATGAAAAATATAAAAAATCCATAGTTCAATTTTGAATTGATTTGAAAAATAGCCCAGTGATGTTGACATTCGTTTTATGATACAGTCCGTTTATATGTTGCTGTGGAGATAAGCAATATGGCGGCCAAAATTTTATTTTTAATCTGACTTTGTTTTGTATGATCTGAAGCGACTGATTGTAGATAAGATGTCAGAAACGGCATCTGCCAGAGTTGTCCCTAGTGGGAAAATTTATCGGCAGATGTTTGATGCCCAGGTTAGAGATCGATTTTCAGAATTTACCCCAAAATTCTGCTTGTTTTGAATGAAAACTTTTTCAAATACAAAAACAAAAAACTTTATTTAAAGTCTGAACATGCTAAAAGTAGACAACACGAGCTCTGTATTGTCTATTGACAAAACATAAAAAAACAGATCAGATATACAATAAGCACACAGCAAATAAACAAATATAAAATTAGGCAGGTGCCCCCTGAGCTGAGGTTATTGGTGCAGATATATATATATTTATTCAAGATAAAAAGGCATGAATTTGACAGATACAAAATATTACAAAGACACATGTTTGTTTTATCATCCTCTTCGGTAATCAAGTATACATTTATACAAACAGGTATGTTGTGTATAGTAAGTAAGTAGGTATTTTTTTTAAAGCCAAACATGATATGTACAAATTAACATAGTAAACATAAACTCTGTAGTGCTCTTAACCAACTTGTTGGTTTTATTTTGTATGGCCCTTATTTATAGCTTAATTAATTTAAAAAAGTTTGATAAATAACCATTTATATTAAAAACATTGTATTAGGGTAACTATATGAAATCTCACAACACATTTTAAATAATCAAATAATTATCAAGGTAAAAATTAAAAAAATGTAATGTTATTACATAAAATTAACCCTAAAGAACAGAAGATAAAGACAAATATAGTATACAATTATTTCTAGGGCACAGGTGGGAGGGTAACAAATTTTCTCTAACTATTGAAATTGCTGATCAACGCTTCCACTCAAAATTCAAAATTGTTATAAAAATTGTTTACTTTGTGAAATACAATCTGGAAGTGAAGTGTGCAGGTATGTTATTTAACAGGTAAATGCAGGTGAGTAGATTTCAACTGATAATTCAATAAGAACAGTTATAACAAAACTTAGGATGACGAACATTAAGTATCAATAAAAAAAAAAATATTTGTGAGTGCAGAAAAACAATAATGAATTACCTAAAAATTCAAATCCAGCAAGAATGGAAATTTTTTCACAATTATTAATCATTATTTATTAAAAAAAAAAATCCAAATTAATTTTGAACTTAAAAAAAAAAAAATATGACTAAATTCATACGAGAAAAATTTCCAGATCCTTGAAAATAGCTATTGAATATTTTCATGATTTATGATTTATGATCTTTCTAACAGGTTTCAACATTTTAGATAATGAAATTTAAATTCGCAAATATTCTTCAATAAATTCTGTATCACAATACATGCTATGTTTGATATGTCAGAAATGTTTAAAATGTACCATAATATTGTTATCCTGAAAGAATAGCACATGTGAATCCTGACTGATGGGCACATAATCTTTTTTTTTTTCAAGACAGAAAACACCAGATAACATAAAATTGCTGTTTAAATGAAGACACTATAAATTGATAACATGATCTGTTGCTTTTGCAAATTTTATTGTTCATGTCAATGACTCCTCATCCACACTAGTTTGTAGTTTCTTCAAACATGTCTGAATGCTGATTATACACTGCCTTTGTAGGTATTTTAAAGCTTGAAAATCAGTACAAAACAAGATGCAAGAGATTAAATATCAAGTTGACATTGAAACAAAACAAAATTTACTGTAATTTAACATTTTTTCCAGTTTTCAAAATATTTAGATCATAAAGTCAGCAACATTGAAAATTTACAAAAAAAATCAAAAAGTTTAAGTTACATGTATATATTTTACTGATTGTAGCCGAGTTCTTAACTATGAGCATAAAACATTATAATGAACAAAGTTATTATCTTTGTAGCTACAACTGACCCAAAGTTTAACAAAAATAAAGAGAGAAGATACACAAAGTAGTAAGGCTCTAACAAGACAAAGTACTGGAATACCATTAGTAAAACTTACTAGAGATGAAGTCAGTCATGGTTTACTCACAGAAAGACAGAGGACTTGGGCAGATGGTTTCCCTAATGAACCATATATTGAAAATCCAGCACTTCACAAGTATGTTTGTTTACATAATTGTGGTCCTAAATTAATATTTTCTTATTTTTGCAGCAGAAATGAAGTACATGTTAACTGTGGCCTATTTAATTTTTAATTTTAGCAAGACCCTTTCAAAAAGTTTGGTATTGAAATCAGTACTTTTAGTAACATTAGATTATTTATTTCCACAAGGAAGTAGTGTTTAAAGTGGTTCCTTTGGCAGTCACAACTTACTCTTAATCATACCAATAATCACCAATCTGCAACTCAAAATACACAATACAAACATTTTTATTTTACTTTCATTTTCAGTATAAAAAGTCTATTACAAAAATTTAATGAAATTTATACATGTGGATTATCAACTCAAACAGGATTGTTTTGACAACCCTAAATTGGCATACTTTTGTTTGCCTTATAGCAATATCAATACAGAAGCAAACTTTATATTTGAGAGAGTCTAACATTTGTATCTACATTTTTTTATTTTAATAAGAAATTTGAAATTTGCCTGTTGAATCCTTAATAAATGTAGGTTTAAATATGTCTTAATGTGCTGAATTACTGTTTGCAAAATGAATATTCTTAAAATAAGGAAATAAGAGAACTCCAATTGTCATACGAAGATTTTTTTGTTTCATTTAACTGGTCTTTGATTTTACCAGACTTTTAACATTAAGTACTGTTATTTTATAGGCAGTATTCTGAGTTTATCCAGGCAACACAGAAAGAAAGTGAAGGCAGTTTATTTGGAAAAGAAGTACAGGGTCTGCCAGATGTTGTTGGTAAGATGGTGTAATAAATAAGGAGATAACTGTATTGTGTTTTAAGCTTGGCCTATGTAAAATGTAGATTTTACTGTCGCAAATTAGATAGGATTCTGGCCTCAAATGTAAACACAAGACATTTGTTTGCTTTATGTACCCTTCAAAACAAATCAAAATGTCAGCTTCCCTTAGTTGCAGACTGTTAGACTGTGGAATCTAACCTCTTAAAATATATGATGATGACCAATCAAAATCATTATTACAAATCAATTGCATTAGAATATATATGTGCATCCAACTACATGACTTCAGTTTTGAAAATATTGTTTATTGGTATGGCTATTCCAGGAAAAAATAATGATTTCAATTTACAGGAGGACAACACTTTGTTTAAAACCAATCCCTATACAATTTAAAAAGGAAATCAAGTGTGTTTTTTACACATAACATCCCAAAAATTAGCTTGAAATATTGTGTCGACACCTGTCTATTGTTGAAGACTGTGTGTTGTCCTCAAGATGTATTTTGGTTATTTGTGTTGTTGGGTTGCTGTCTCATTGATGTATACCCCACCTCTCCTTTTATTAATAACAGCAGTGCACAAAATTCTACACAGTAAATTAAATATTGAGCAACACCAACTTCACCAAATATTGTGGATAATAAGGTTGCCCTAAAGAATCAGCAGTTCCTACTCCACTATTGACATACATCTATCAGAAAGTTAATGTTTTAAGTTAACCAAACACCTTTATTATCCAATAAAATCTTCAGTCCACAAGGGTTCAGTTAAGACAGTTTTCACTGTTATTTATTCAATATTTTCAGTTCCGGCAAAACTTGGATCCAATATAATTGATAGAATTGCAGCTAGCAGAAAAGAAAGGTATGTCAGTGTCAAGTCTTACTCAATAGTGATAGCAGAAATGTTCATCCTGTTTTTCCTCCAGTTTTCAGTCATCCACAATACTATTTTGAAATGTTAAGATATACAAGGTTATGCTCCTGTCCTGGAAATCAAAGCATGTAGTGATTCACTTGCTTAATTGTAAGAAGGAATTTTATTCTGTTTGTTTTCCAATCAGATTAAACAAATCGAACAAACTAGATAATTCAGAAATTGAACAAATACATAAATTTCCCATCTTGGAACTTTATCAAATTTAGTGTATTTTTTCTTTATGTGGACTGATAAAATCTTGAAAACAATCACTTTTAATCTGTATTATGAAATACTTTCTGATGTAATTTTCAGGTTGGCAGATTAATGAGAAATTTGCACATACTGTAAAATAAGCTTATCTACTAAAATAGACTTTGTAATTTAAATCTAGTATTATTTAGGAACCATGTGCAGAGCATAGAGAATATGAAATATCACCAGCATATGCATATTATTTTTTTTTAATTTGAGATGTTCCTTTTGTTGAAACTGATTGACTGATGAAATATTTGGCTTTTTATTTGTAATAAGATGTAGATTTTGGAGGGAAAAATGGATAAAAAATATACAAATATGCCATCATTAAATGTCATGCCATGTGATTCAAAGTCAAATGTACTATAGGTAAAATCAAGAAAATATTAAATGGTGCTAATTGATATATGATATAATATCAATACCTACTTGAATATTTGATAATTTGGTCACAATATACAATGATTACCAATAGCTTGTGTGTTTTTTGTTTTGATACTTATCAAAATAATAGAAAAGATATTTTCAGAAGAATAAACAAGCAAATGTCATACAATTGTGATTACTGAAAATTTAAATTTACTTTTATGTTGTAAATATTAGTCTTTACCATGACCAACAAGATATTGTTTTGTATGAAAACATTGCATTTGTTTTTTTCTGGAATAATTTTTCAATATTCTTTCATTAAACCAATAACTTGTCATTATTTCATTCTATAGACATGAAGCTGAAGTAGAAGATATGCATCAAGAACTTAGTGTGATTAACTCTGTAAGTAATTAGGTATTACACTCCCTTATATCCAGTAATAATTTGGTACAGAAGAAAATGTGAAAAAAACATTTTTAATCAAATAGATAGAGGTCTGCTTCATGACCTTTGACATCCCTATCATCCCAAACTTTGCTTGAGAGTCTAAGGTGACTACAATATGGAATGTGATATATGTAAAAACCCATACATTATACTGTTCATTGTTTATATTTATAATAGTCTAAACCAAATCGTTAGATGTGATATGGGTCATTTGTCTTATTAGGAGTATGATTAAAAAGCTTTACCCGTGACTGATGTGGGTTTCATTTCTGATAATGATTCATGTATAAACCATGTCTTTTAATCAGTATCAAACATACAAAATGATTTATTTTTTACTTAGTATATGAAAAATGCTATATTTAGTCATTGAATGTACATTGGACAACTAGAGACAAGACAAAATAAAATATCTTTGTAAACTGCAGTTTAGCAATATGAATATGATAGCGATTACTTACTCACTTACTTACTGCCCTTGATGCAGATCTTATGATAGCGATTACTTACTCACTTACTTACTGCCCTTGACGCAGAACTTATGATAGTGATTACTTACTCACTTACTTACTGCCCTTGATGCAGATCTTATGATAGCGATTACTTACTCACTTACTTACTGCCCTTGACGCAGAACTTATGATAGTGATTACTTACTCACTTACTTACTGCCCTTGATGCAGATCTTATGATAGCGATTACTTACTCACTTACTGCCCTTGACGCAGAACTTATGATAGTGATTACTTACTTACTGCCCTTGACGCAGATCTTATGATAGCGATTACTTACTCACTTACTTACTGCCCTTGACGCAGATCTTATGATAGTGATTACTTACTTACTGCCCTTGACGCAGATCTTATGATAGCGATTACTTACTCACTTACTTACTGCCCTTGACGCAGAACTTATGATAGTGATTACTTACTTACTGCCTTGGATGCAGAACTTATGGTAGTGATAACTTACTTAATGCCCTTGATGCAGATCTTATGATAGTGATTACTTACTTACTGCCCTGGATGCAGAACTTATGGTAGTGATTACTTACTTACTTACTTACTGCCCTTGATGCAGATCTTATGATAGTGATTACTTACTTACTGCCCTTGACGCAGATCTTATGATAGCGATTACTTACTTACTTACTTACTGCCCTTGATGCAGATCTTATGATAGTGATTACTTACTTACTGCCCTTGACGCAGATCTTATGATAGTGATTACTTACTTACTTACTTACTGCCCTTGATGCAGATCTTATGATAGTGATTACTTACTTACTTACTTACTGCCCTTGATGCAGATCTTATGATAGTGATTACTTACTTACTTACTTACTGCCCTTGATGCAGATCTTATGATAGTGATTACTTACTTACTTACTTACTGCCCTTGATGCAGATCTTATGATAGTGATTACTTACTTACTTACTTACTGCCCTTGATGCAGATCTTATGATAGTGATTACTTACTTACTTACTTACTGCCCTTGATGCAGATCTTATGATAGTGATTACTTACTTTCTTACTGCCCTTGACGCAGATCTTATGATAGTGATTACTTACTTACTGCCCTTGACGCAGATCTTATGATAGCGATTACTTACTCACTTACTTACTGCCCTTGACGCAGAACTTATGATAGTGATTACTTACTTACTGCCTTGGATGCAGAACTTATGGTAGTGATAACTTACTTAATGCCCTTGATGCAGATCTTATGATAGTGATTACTTACTTACTGCCCTGGATGCAGAACTTATGGTAGTGATTACTTACTTACTTACTTACTGCCCTTGATGCAGATCTTATGATAGTGATTACTTACTTACTGCCCTTGACGCAGATCTTATGATAGCGATTACTTACTTACTTACTTACTGCCCTTGATGCAGATCTTATGATAGTGATTACTTACTTACTGCCCTTGACGCAGATCTTATGATAGTGATTACTTACTTACTTACTTACTGCCCTTGATGCAGATCTTATGATAGTGATTACTTACTTACTTACTTACTGCCCTTGATGCAGATCTTATGATAGTGATTACTTACTTACTTACTTACTGCCCTTGATGCAGATCTTATGATAGTGATTACTTACTTACTTACTTACTGCCCTTGATGCAGATCTTATGATAGTGATTACTTACTTACTTACTTACTGCCCTTGATGCAGATCTTATGATAGTGATTACTTACTTACTTACTTACTGCCCTTGATGCAGATCTTATGATAGTGATTACTTACTTTCTTACTGCCCTTGACGCAGATCTTATGATAGTGATTACTTACTTACTTACTGCCCTTGATGCAGATCTCATGATAGTGATTACTTACTTACTTACTGCCCTTGATGCAGATCTTATGATAGTGATTACTTACTTACTTACTTACTGCCCTTGACGCAGATCTTATGATAGTGATTACTTACTTACTGCCCTTGACGCAGATCTTATGATAGTGATTACTTACTTACTGCCCTGGATGCAGAACTTATGATAGTGATTACTTACTTACTGCCCTTGATGCAGATCTTATGATAGTGATTACTTACTTACTTACTTACTGCCCTTGACGCAGATCTTATGATAGTGATTACTTACTTACTGCCCTTGACGCAGATCTTATGATAGTGATTACTTACTTACTGCCCTGGATGCAGAACTTATGATAGTGATTACTTACTTACTGCCCTTGATGCAGATCTTATGATAGTGATTACTTACTTACTAACTTACTGCCCTTGACGTAGATCTTATGATAGTGATTACTTACTTACTTACTGCCCTGGATGCAGATCTTATGATAGTGATTACTTACTTACTTACTGCCCTTGATGCAGAACTTATGATAGTGATTGGCATTCTGCAATTACCTTGTCTGTTTGTACATTCATTTGTGTTTGTCTTTATCAATCCATAACTTCCATTCAATATTCACCAATTTCTGTATAAAGATATGAATTGAAAGGAAAAGGTATGATAAACATGCAGTGTTGGCCCCTTGAATTAAAAAATCAAAATGTTTTATAAATCTATTAAATAAATCCTTAAATTAAAGACATTGAATCATCTGTCAGATATCAGTATTTGTTTTTTTTTTGTATTAGACATAGAAATACTAGGCATTTGTCTGGCACCAATTAAAATCCAGGATTCATGAAGGGGTTTTAGTGCATATTAAAGAAGTCATGCACTCGCAAGAAGGAGATATTGATTATGGGGAGGGAATGAATTATTATGGTTAAGGTTGTATGTATTCCCCCTGTAGTTTTAGCATTGGTCACCTTCACAACTATTCAATAAACAAAAAACTTAATCAGTATATATTTCCTTAAAATTTATTTTTTAAATCAATATTTATGATAGGTTATCAGCATATTAGACTTATTTTAATCAAACTCATATGAATTATTCTTTTAAAATGTTGACTGATATTTTTAGGACATAGAACCCAGAATAGAAGAAAATTGTGAAACACTCATGAAAAAACTGGAAGAAAATGATGAACAAATAGCAGAAATTCTAGAGAGAATAAAAACAGATGAGGTATATATTGCATAAAAAGACAAAAAAATATATATATAAACATAACCAGAAACTATACTTGCTATACTGTTTTAACATAATTTTTGTCAAGTTTGTGATGAATAGTGGAAGCGATACATAGTGATCCTACATTCGGATGTCAGTGTAATCAACAGTTAAGTTCAGACTGTTGTTTAATTATTTTTGACATCAATAACTTTGTCAATCCTTCATGGAATTTTATTAAAATTAGACAGAAGCTTCTTCATGATCAAAAGACCATATCTAGAGCAAAATTTTGAAAATGTTTTCAGTTTTCATGCTTTGCTGGTAGATGGACTAAGTTTCATTCAGTTAACATTTATATACAATGCAGGTCAAATTTTTTAGATATGAATAAATTTGTTAAACCTTTCAGGAAATTAATGAAACTTGGACAGGAGCTTCTTCAAGATTAAAAAAATAGTATCTAAAGAAAAGATTGGATTTAAAAAAGTTCCACATTTAACCAATAAATGGACATACCAATTGGCAGTCAACATAACACTTTAACACTGACAGCAGCAATTGCAGAACTAAAATGCTAAAAATTTCCCATTCTCCTTTAATTTTGTGGCTTCAAAAGAAAATGATTATGTAGGCCATGCAACTGTCTTATACCTAATGATGAGAATCTAGCCATCAAGATGTACAACACCAAAAAAAGAAACTTTGTAAAATTATACCAAAAAATGCAAGCAATGTGATAACTATTATTAGTTAGCATTGGAATTTGAAAATTAAAAAAATTTAAAAGATATGTAAGCACTTTTTTTTCATTTCAGGATATTTTGACCTACACCTTAGATGATTTATACATAATCTGGGAAGAAGTGCAAGGACATACATACAAACGACAGGAATGGATTAAGTTTCTAGACGTACAGTTGTCAGAAATAGAAGACGAGAGGATGGATAGGGTAAATCAAATTAATGCTCAAAAAACCTTAAAAATATACTGTAACTTCAGAAATTTTCAGATACTTCTTTTATTGCAAAGTTTGAGACAGGATATGTGTTGCAAAAACTTAAACTCACATTTTAATTCTGATAGCACTTTTTGTATGCTGCATTTTGTGAAATAGCAATAATTTTCTCTCATTTTTGTACTTTCTTCAACAATCGACATAATAAATGCTTACAAAAATTTCTGAATTTACAGTATGTAAAAAGTGAAATATTCCCCCAAAAAAACCTTAAGAATAAAAGATAAAAGCTGAATATGCATTGAAAAAGATTCTGTATCATATGTTTGAAAGTTTTGCATTTTAAAATACATATTTTAAAAATATTGTTTATTTGATCTGAAAAATATTATTGTTTCATGTCAAAATGTGATGGAAATAATTTGATGTAAATTCTTTATCAGTAACAAAATCAATTTTCAATTTCAATTTAATTCTTCAACAAATAACTCACTGTTTTTGTCAGATAAGGGTACATTACAATACAATACAATATGCTTTATTTAAAAACACTCCGTCACATTGACATGTGAAACAAGAGGTAAATATATACAAAATACAATCACATACAATCATAGAAATAAATAGACCAACTTAGAAATGAAATATATTAATAATTACTTTACTTTATAATATTTTCGTTAACTTTGAAACGAATAAAGATACATTCTTAAGTACATTAATATTAACCAATGATAGTAGTCCTTTCATTTTTGCTGCACTGGGATATTTAACATAGTATTCTGGAATGTGCTGATTTCTGATACTTTTACTAATACAGAATTGCATTCAAATAAGTAATGGTATTCATTACCAATAGCATTTAAACACAAATTACATGTCCTCTCGTCTGTTGGAATATTGTACCATCTACCCAGCTCTACTGGAATTTTTACATCACAGCATCTTAATTTTGAAATATATTGACGTTCGATTGGTGATAATTGTACAAGATAGTTTTCTAAGTCAAACATTGTTTTAAAAAGACCATAAAATTCTCCTCTGAATGAGTTGTCAATTTGACTATGCCAATTTTGAATGAATGCATCTTTAAGTTTTTCTTTCAGAACGATTTTTAGTTGATTTACATCTAATGGTAATTGCTGAGTCCAAACATAGCTAAGTCCGGAATTGTCTAAAATCGATTTAATATAGTCAATCCATTTGAACATGTGATCTTCTTTTAAGTTGAACATAATTTGATAAAGTATACTGCTTAGTTTATTTTCATTGGCGAGAAGTTTGTTCCAAAAACACACCATTCTACATTTTATTACGGTATCTATTGGTGTACGACCAAGTTCTCCATATGTCATAAAATTTGGTGTTGAGGATCTAATTTTCAACACATTCCGGCAAAACTGTAGTTGGATTTTTTCCAGCATGTAATTGTTTCTGAATCCCCATATTTCACACCCATATGTCAGAATTGGAAGTATAAGTGCATCAAACAGTTGTAATTGTAAGTCGACAGGTATTGAGAGGTTACGTATCTTTGTATAAAGACTAAAAAGTGCTTTCTGTGCTTGTTCGCTAAGACGTTTCTTCGCTGTTTCAAATGAACCATTGTAGTTAAAAGTTAGTCCTAAATATGGATAAAAATCTTAACTCCAATAGACTGGTTAAATATTTGAAAATTTGGTAATGTTCGTGATTTCCGTTTGCAGAACACAACAACCTTTGTCTTCGATAAATTAACGTTTAAACAGTATCTTTCAAAAACATTTAAGGCTTGTTGCATTGGTTCGGCTGTTTCAGATATAATTATAGTGTCGTCGGCGTACAAAAGAACAAAAAGTTTTATATAGATATGCAAATAATTGCGGCAAATATTTTCCATAACTTGCAAGTTCTGAACATCATTTTCAGCAAAGAAAGACTCAAGATCGTTTAGATAAACAGCAAATAAAAAGTGGGAAAAATTTTCTCCCTGTCTCACTCCAATGTTACAGTTAAAAACGGCTGACACTTCGTTACCATCATCAACTATTACCTTCCTCTAGTGGATAAAACCGAAAGGCTAGATTTACTTTTTTTTATTTGTCTGAAAAAAAAATCAAATTAAAGTTACTTAATAAATGGATTATTTTTTAGTATTTCATGACATTGTTTTATCATGCACTATCCTCATGCATTTTGTAAACCAACTTATTTTTACTGATATTTTAGAGTTGAATTCTTTCTAGCTGACTTTGTAGTAATTTTTTTTTTTTTAATTTACGTGATGTATTTAAATAAGGGAAGTTCCAAGTTTTACATATTTGCAATGATTTATACTTACGTTATTATTCTACTCTGGGAAGTAGTGAAAATAAGATGCTTGCTAAATTAAGTTGGTTTACAGTATACTGTAAACCAACTAATATTGGCGAGCAATTTATTTTTCGCAACTTTTGTGGGTAGAAAAATAACACAATATAAATCGTCATGAACATGTAAAACTTGGATCTTCCCTTATTTGAATACATCAAGTAAATTAGAAAAATTTGAAACTAAATCACTGTGAAGTGGTCTAGAAAGCGTTAAATGGGAAACAAAGTATCTGTGAAAATAAGTTGGTTTACAGTATATGCCTCCTTTCCAAAATCCAAAGCTTTCTAGCAACCAGAATTCAGAATATTTCAAGGTAATGATCTTGCAAAATTTATTGATATTTTTAGATCAGAGATGTTTTTCTAGACTATGCCAAGAAACTGGAAAAAATATCACATTTGATGTCTCCAGATCTACAAAGGTTTATGGACCAAGAAGCTCAGGTTAGTTACCAGTGTACACAATTCTTAATGTTATTGTGTCAAGTTCTTTGCTGAGAAACGTACAATAAAATTTAATGCTTAAACATATTGTACTAACAATGTATGATGTAATCAAAAAGATTTTATTGTGAAATTATAGATTTAAAAACTATTTTTTAATAGTTAAACTTGGACTGAGGTATTGTTGTTTTAAAAACATGCATTTTGGTTTATTATTTCATAACAAATGTAGGTAATAAACCAAAGATTTCATGTTACTTTTAAATATTTACAAAACGAAAAACGATGTAGATATACAAACTTGATGCAACAACCTTAAAACTCAATAAAACTAGAACAGACATTTAGAGAGCAATACAAAGTCTTCTATAATAGAAGGTTGTACATGTATATACAATAAGCTAAGCTCTTTTAAAATACTCCCAAAGTATAGTCAAAATGTGAATAAGTAGACTACCAAAGATCTTCCATTATTCACAAATCGTACAAGGCAGACACACTTAAATATATTCATTGTGAAACTTCAAATTGTGTCAAATGATCAATTTTGAATAAGTTTGAATTTATCCTTTACAATAATGAAAAAAAAAGATATGGTATATCAATTCATGACAAAAAATCACTACATGCTCTTGAAAAAACTGTAAGCAAAGGAACAGTTCTTTTATTGCTGTGCTTCATTTTGAATAAGAAAGACAAATGACACAAAAACTAATGTAATAAATATTTGTAGGTAATTAATCAGACCATGTTGAGTAATAGAAGAGCCTACTCTGACTTGTTCGTCAGACTTATGTCATCTGACATAGAGAGGGAAAAGACACAACATACAACTTGGAAACGACGTGTAGAGGACTGGCGACAATTGAAGACTGACCTAGCTATTCAAAAGTTTATGTAAGTTTAACACATGGAAAAACTTTAAACTTATTTTTTTAAACTAGTGTTAATGTAGATTACTGTTAACAAATTTATCTTTGGCAATATTTGTTTCTCTTCTAGTCCTTTCTAGCCAGGTTTCATGGCAATTTATTTTCTAACTTGTATAAGAGCAGACCAAATCTGACAAATATAAATATAAAAACTTCAGTATATCATGAATGAGTCAAGATCTAGCTTTTCTGTGTAGAAAGATCAGACATTTCATTTTGATATTATGTATTTGTATGAAATAAAGTAAAAGAATGTGGTTAAATTATTTTTCAGTGATTATATTCAAGGAGACAATATCATAGACCCACCAAGTGTACAGAAAGTTATGCGCCAACTGGCAGAAGATCAGACCATTCTCAGTAATAAAAGGAAAGAACTAGTCATACAATTAAGGTAGGTTCTCATATTATTTTTGATAGTATTTTCACTGAGGATAATGTATTACTGTGGAATCATTTATTTTCATGAACTTGTTAAGCCAAAGTCTCCATACAGACATATAGAAATTTTGTACTTCGTTGGACATTTAAATTTGTTCTTTTACATAACAATTTCCCGAAAAAATCCCTGAAAATTGGTATCCTCACAAATATGAATCCACAGTATTTATTATTGTTTTAACTTTTCTATAAATCAAAATCAAACTGATCTTTCATTTTTCGTTCAAAGTTTAAACAAAAATATAAAAATTCAGATTGCTTTAAAGGACTGCTACATTAAAATATTTTAGGGATTTGAAACCACCAGCATCCACCAAATCAGCTGTTTACCAATGGAATAAAAATATTCAAATGGTCTCAAAAGAAATAGGTCTGTAGTATTTAATTATATTCCATTAACCTATGAGATACACTGAAAGTATTTTATTACAAAGTTATTCATTTATAGTGCATAAAAGTTTTGTTAGTAAATTGTTTTTTTATTTGGTTTGAACACCTGACATTTTTAAAACAACTGTAGAATTGACCACTTACCAGATAACTGGTTTACACCTGTATAGTTTCAGTGGTAAACACACCTCAAAAACCTACAACAAATAATGTATCTTATCAGGTATGTATCTGTTGTACCAATGCATTCAATTTTGTACAAAAGTCTCCATCTTCAGATAAGAACATTTTCTAATTTAGAAATAAGCTAGCCAAGCTATATACAAAATTCTATTTTGAATAGTAGAAAATTTGGAAATTTACTGAATATGCAGTTAGAGGATTCATTTCTGTAATGATTATTAGTTTATTTGTGACATAATTGTACTAAAAGTAGTAGCCTAGTTTTCTAGTTATATAATGATAGATACATGCATTCAATGGACCACTTGAGATGAATTTTTATGGTTAAATTGTTTCATATATTTGAGCTTCAAAATGATAAAATGCTCTTCTATGTTGTTTTTTTTTTTTTTTAAAGTATAATGATTTCTACTCATTACAGACAGTACAAACCAGATATTTTTAACTAAACTACATGAAGAATATGAAAAAGTCTGTCAAGATTGTTTAGAACAAGTTGATGCAATTAAGGTAAGTGCTTTAATATGGTTTAAAGCATAATTATATTTCGGGTCTATTATTGCTTTTTATTTAAAGAATGGCTGAGGGTTTAAAAATATTCTAATTTGTAACTGCATAGTAAGATTTTGTAAATATTTATTTTGAATAAAGGTCTCAAATTCAGGCCTTATGGGGATAGACATTTGACAAATATTTTCTGTTAAATAATTTTTTAAGAAAAATGCTGTTTTTTCTTTATCCAAGTTTTTTTTTATTCAAAACACAAATTTTATAGGATACTTTCAAACTGAAAAAAAAATATTACGGAAATCTTAATCAGCTGGGAACAAAATTTGTGTTTGAAAGAAATTAACCATTTTAATATTGCCACAAAAGAATTATAATACTTCATTCTTGTTTACAGAAATATTTGATAGAAGCAGGAATTTGTGGTATGTTGAAAGCTAAACATATAGTGGAGAATAAGATGTTACCGTTGGTTGGTGATAGACAAAGAGTATATGAAGAAAACTTAGAGACCATGGAGGTATGGCAAAAACATATTTATCTTTCATACTTTGCATTTAATAATATGCAATAGGAGTTTTTAGCTCACTGGGGCCCCGAAGGGCACCATGTGAGCTTATGCCATCAATTGGCGTCTATCGTTGGCGTAGTAAACTATTTCAAGAATCTTCTCCTCTGAAATTACTGGGCCAAATACCTTCAAACTTTAACTGAATGTTCCTTAGGGTATCTTGTTTTTAAATTGTATCCGAAGTTTTGATCCATCAACAAACATGGCTGCCATGGCTAAAAAAAGAACATAGGGGTCAAATGCAGTTTTTGGCTTATATCTCAAAAACTTAAGCATTTAGAGCAAATCTGATGGGGTAAAAATGTTCATTAGGTCAACATCCATCAGCTCTGAAATTTTCAGACGAACCGAACAACCCATTGTTGGAGTTGCTGCCACTAAATTGGTAATTTTAAGGAAATTTTGCTGTTTTTGGTTATTATCTTGAATAGTATTGAAGATAAAGATAAACTGTAAACAGCAAAAATATTCAGCAAAGTAAGATCTACAAATTAGTTTATTTGACCAAAATTGTCAATTGACCCTTAAAGGAGTTATTGCCCTTTAAATACAATTTTACACAATTTGTTCATCATGTTTGCTAATATTTAAAAATCTTCGCCTCTGAAACTACTGGGCCTAATACTTCTAAACTTTAACTGAATGTTCCTTAGGGTAACTGGTTTATAAATTTTATCTGAAGTTTTGATCCATTAACAAACATGGCCTCCATGGCTAAAAAAATAAACATAGGGGTCAAATGCAGATTTTGGCTTTTATCTCAAAAACTATAGCAGTTAGAGCAAAAGTGGCATGGAGTTAAAGTGATGAATAAGTCTAAATCTATCTGCTTTACAATTTTCAGACCAATTGGACCACCTATTATAGGGTTACTGTCGGAAATAGTTTATTTTTATGAAATTTTACTGTTTTTGGTTATTATCTTTTAATATTATAATAGATTGAGAGAAAGTGTAAATGGCAAAAATGTTCAGCTTAGTAGGATCTACAAATAAGTCAAATGATCAAAATATATAGTCAATTGACTCCTTAAGGAGTTATTGCCCTTGAAACGTTTATTTTTTTACATTTTTTCGTGCAAGTCTAATTACTTTTTCAAAAATCTTCTTCTCTGAAACTACTTGGCCAAATACGTAAAAACTTTAATTGAATGTTCCTTAGGGTATTTAGTTTATAGGTTGTATTCAGGGATTTGATCCATTCAAAAACATGGCGGCAGTTTCTAAAAATAAAACATAGGGGTCAAATGAAGTTTTTGGCTTTCATCTCAAAAACTAAAGCAGTAAGAGCAAAATTGACGTAGGTGAAAGTGTTAAACAGGTTTAGATCTACCTGTCAAGTAATCTTCAGACCAATAGGACAACTTATTGTTGGGTTACTGTCCAGAAAAAGTTAATTTTTAGGAAATTTTACAGTTTTGGGTTATGTATTATCTTTAATATTATTAAAGAAAGAGAGAAAGTGTAAATGACAAAATTGTTCAGCAAAGTAAGATCTACAAATAAGTCAAATGCCTGAAACTGCAGGTGAGCGATATCAAGCTCTCATGAGCCTTTTATTAATACTTCAAATACTACAATAAAATCTGTCTAAGCTTATACCAATAATTCAGAAATTTTTGTGATAATTTATTATTGTGACGAGATAGGTTTTTCAAAAATGAACAATTTCATTTTAAACTTTGGTATTGGTAGCAGTATTGGTAAAAAACTTTTTGGGAAATCACAATAATAGATCTTGCAATTTCAATAATAAATACACACACAATTTTCTGAATTTACAGTATTTTAGTAAGTTGACTAATTCATTTAAATCTTTTCAGTTCATTGTAAAATTATTTTTGATTTTAAAGATGTTATTATCAAACCAGTAATGTAAAATTTCTTTCCTGTATCATCTGGTATTTTAGATGATAACATTGATTAAAACCATATATAATGGTCAAATAAAAATTCTTAGTTGCTTTTTATTGATAAAAAAATGTAATTGATTTTTTAATAAACAAGTGTTTATTTTATTTACATTTACATATATGTATATTGATGAGTTTTAATATTCAGCTTGAAGTCAGAATTTAAGTAAAAGATTCATTTTAGAAAATATAATATGTACCGTATATTTTTTTTTCCATAGAAAAATTTAGATGATCATAATACAAAGACAAATGATCAGCTGAAGTCCTTATTTAAGTATGCACAAGGATCAGCACATGTTTGGGATGTTCATGAAATTGGATTGGCTAAACAGGAGAGAGCTCTACAGGAGAAACTGGAAAACTGTAGACAACAACATGACAATCAAAACCAGGTAATAAGGTTTTCTTGAAAGGAGAATTATAATTAGTAACATCAAAATCTGGTTATTATGGGAGATAAATCTGAAGAACATTTAGAGAGCATTGCAATAAAAATGAGTGATAAGGGTAGACAACTCTGTAGTAGATTGATTGAGTCTCTTAAAGTTGTTACTCTACTAATTATGTTATTTTCTCATGGTCAGTTGTTGTGAGAACTTGTCAATTGAAATTTGTTTTTATTTGTGAACACCTGTTTCCTTAGTGATGTTAGGGAAAATTTAAGGGCATACCATATAGAGCAAGGGCAGATAATAATGCATTTACATTTAAAATGTTGTTCTTCTCGATGTTGCTAGCGATAAGCAAAAAAATTAGCAGAAAAATCAATAATGTCATCAAATTGGTCACATGGATTTAAAAGTCTTTGCAAAGGATAAAGAAGATAATGTATAATTAAGCATTCGAAATCTACTGTAGGGCATAAAATTTGAGGCAAATGGAGATTGTTTACTTTTCTATCATCAATAAATTTGCATATGACAATTATTCCTAAAGTTTTAAAGTAAAGTGGTAATAACTGCACAATGATGTTGCATTAAGAATACTCAATTGGTGTAAATAAACTCATCATAGATACCAGGATTGAAATTTTATATTTATGCCAGACGCACGTTTCGTCTACAAAAGACTCATCAGTGATGCTCGAATCAAAAAATGATAAAATGCCAAATAAAGTACGAAGATGAAGAGCATTGAGGACCAAACATTCCTAAAAGTTTTGCCAATTTAGTGCCAAAAAAGGAAAATGGGATTGCAAAATGTTAAAAAAAAAATCTATTTCTAGCTGAAAATGAGCACATGGTCACTCATTTTAATCTTTTGCAATCATCTATGTACTGCTTAAAGAATATTATATCGAAATTGCACGAAAAAATCAATGGTAGATTTATTCTGTATACATTTGTGTTGGCAAGAAACTATCTAAGGCTTTTTATTGCAAATATTTTGTATGATTTCTCAAACATTTTTTTTGCATTCAGCCTTCATTTTAGGGACTGACTTAAAGAAATTTTAATTAAAGAACATTTTATATTGCATCTTTCCGGAAAGTATTGGAAAATGAATGTTTGTGTTTTTACATGAAACATGCAAATTTCAAATAGAATTGTCTCGAAATGTAAGTCTTGAAGGTATATTTATCTTTACAATTTCTGTAAGTGCATATCAAAATATACTTTGTGTCAAAATTTCAAGGAAAAATCAACTAGAAATCTTTTCTGTATCATATGCCCTTGAGATCATGTATGGCAACTTTTAAATTTGATCTAATTTTGGGCCAAATATGACCCATATTGCCCTAAACTTTTGGTTGAATAAAACAAGAAAACAGATAGGAAGTCTTACTCTTAGATAGCAAATAATTACTGTCAGAATACTAAGGTTAATTGGAGATAACTCTACAAGTCATTAAAATTTTGCATATAAATTTATACTAGACAAAATTTGCCTCCTGAGTAATACAATGGAGGGAAGTCTGTAACATAAGTATTTTTTTGAATATGTTGTTTTAATGATGAGTTTTAAAGCACTATTTGAATGCAAAGTTCCATGTCCCATCTGTTTAGAATTTTTCTATATTTCAAATTTTAAAAGATGAATTACTGTAAACACCAAAAGCACCAAAATTTTTATGTATAATGTCACTATAGGGTATAATATTGCTTGATTTTTCAGGATAAAGAGGCTAATTTAGATATAGTGATGGATAAGATGAGGCAGGATGCTACTGAAGGAGCACTTAAAGCCAATCTTAATAAAGCTCTTGAAATGCTGGAGAAAATTAAAGATGCGTAAGTAGTTTTAGACCAACTGTAATTGTTAAAAATTATTTATAATTTTGTTAAAAAAGGTATATATTTTGATTATGACTGACACAGTTGAATATGAAGCACTTTTACTTGTAATGAAGTGAATAAATGATAAAAAAAAATCGTTTTTAGTATTTGATTCTGAAATTCAAAGAAAGGTTAAATATACATGCATTGATAACTTTAAGATATGCTTATGTTTTACTATAGGTATGAAATATTTCATCAAGACCAGACAGGAATTGTAAAGACATACCCAAATATGGTATTGCAAGAACTGGAGGGTTATGATTTAGCTGTTTGCAAGTTCTTCATGGTTGGAAGGAACCCAGAGGTAAGCATAAAAGTATCCTGTAGACTCCCTTTTTGTATAAGCTTTGAAACATGCCTAGTGAGGCTTTCTGTGAGTGTCTTAATTGTTTAATATCTGTAAATTCATTTGTACAGGAAAATATAACATCTGGCATGGTCTGAAATTCATCACAAAAGCATTTATTCATATTCTTCATGATGAAGTATTTAAACATGTATATATTTGATAAAATCCCTAAATTGGGATTAATTGTTATAATCTCATTGATTGCTTTGTTCATTGTTTCAAGTATGATAAAAACTAATGATTGTATTTTTACATTTAATGAGATAAATGCATTCAATTTTACAACAAAGCGCTTCTTTAAAAAAAAATTTAGGCTTTCAAAGGGTTTTTGTGTTTTTTATAAAACATAATTCATTTTTAACAATTGAATACTGATTATAAGATTTTAGGAAGAATTTGAGTCAACTTTGAAACTATTAAATAGGTCAAAGAGAAATAACTCAATGTTAAACAAAAATTTGTTTAAATTTTCTGTAGCAATGTCAATTCATTTTACTGTATATTGTTGATATATGGTTTATTTTGGATGTTAAAAACATTTAAATACAGTCTTGGGTTTATTATTTTTTTTAGACATCAATATCTTTGTCAAAAACTTATTGACTCAGATTTTTTGAAGTCAATATTACTCTTTTACACTTAGTCCAAACACATGGTTCCACAAAACCCTTCACATTTTTTTTTTGTAATCCTTTCCATATTTAAGTAAAAAATGCAAATGGCGTTCATCCATAATTTGTAAAATTATTAAATAAATTTATATTGTTATTATTACTATAAATGTTTCTCAGTACTTGCATTCAAATTTATTTTATTTTACTTTGAGGGCTGTACAACTTTTTTTCAGGATAGCCAATCAAGACGAGAGAAGGTTACTAAAAGTCCATCAAAGACAAAAAAGGTAATTATTATTTGTTTATTACAGCATGAATGAATACATATAAAAGTATGTGGAATGCATGCATGGTCCTGTAATCACCTGTTTTATATACTCAAAATGAGAGCCAGTATTAAAACAAAATTTTGTGCAATTTATCATTTCTTATTTATTTATTTTTTTACTCTAAATCTAAAAATTGGGTAAACAGGCATTGAAATTTCTGTACTATTGCAGATTTTAGTTTACATGTTTACTATTCATTCCATTGATATAGAAAATATAACTTTATTATGATTATTGTTTGAAAAGGTTGATTTTTATTTCTTTTGTGATTTAGGTTTGGGTAAGCTATACATTTTTGAATTTTTTTGTTCTTTTACTTTGTTGATTTTACAGTAAACGCAAGAAAATTTTCAGCATGAAAAGAAATATTATCCATAAAGAATTAAAACATAAGTAGGAACAAAAAGATAGCTTTATTCTCTTGAAGGATAATATCTGCAAAACAACAATGTTACTTCTAGTTTTATTTGAAAATAGTACACAATGAAATAACTACACATGTAGTGTTGTGTAAAATAGACTGCATAACATTGCTCAAATATATATTTGCATCCTTTACAAATTAATGTTGATATGAGCAAGAACATGTTTGATAAAAAAACTTAATTAAAAAAATTAGTTACACAGAAAATACTTTTAAAAAAACTGGGATTGTCCATGCCTAAATGGTTGTGATATTTTCCTGTAATTGTTCTCTGAATTAAAAAGGGGGCATGAATATTCAAACTTATCATAACTTAGCTTGGAAAATGATTTTTTTTTTGCAAAAATCATGGAAAAGATTTGAAAAAATCTTTTTAAATTTTTATGAATAATAGGAAAATATAAACCAAGAATGATTTTGATGATGAAAGTCTGTGTGCTAGTAGTCAGAAAATGAATTGCATCTGTTTGTCACATATAAAAGTTAGTTCATTTAAAAAGTTTATATTTTTGCAGATATTGTCTGCAGTATGATACGTCATAATTTAATTCTTTATTAGGATCAAAATTTTATTATGCAGGCTTTTATTTTTGCAAAACCTATATGATTTTAAAGTACTTATCTTTATGTTACATCAATTCTTAAGGCTGTCACACTTCTGTAGGGCAACAAAAGAAAATTTGATAAAGTGAAAGTTTCCCCCTCTCCCACTTTTGAAAAAAATCGATTTTCTTTTTCATTTTTTACAAATTTTTAAGGGCATAAACCTATTATGCTGCCTTAATCCAACACTGTACCAGTTCCATTTACTTGAATACTTAAAAAGTCAGTCACCTTCTGCCCTTTTATTACTCTTGATTTAAGTTAATTAATTGTTCTTTATATTATGTTTACTGTGCAGAAGATATGACTTCTATTAATGTCTCTCAAGTTGCAAGTCATATGTTGTCCATTCTTATAATTTATGGTGAGTGGTTGAATTTTTCTTAGAATTTTGGAAGAATTACTAGTAAAATGAAAATTTTATATTATGGATGGTTGGGGTGCGAAACAAGTGCCTCCCCCATGTGTTCAATTCTAGAACAGCCCTTCTTAAAATGTTTGACAAAAAAGTACCAATTATTTTTAAGTCCTTAGGTTTCCCTCCTTAATAACTTGGTTAGTTGAATACAGTTTATGTTAGTATTAATTTCGCATGGTTAATAAACCATCGCTTAATTTTACAACTTTTAAGAATAATTACCATATATTTCTTTACCTAAGCTTTCAATTTTAATTTTCATATAAAATTTGTGTATTTTAAAAATTAAATAGAATGAATTATGAACATAATCATTGATGTGTACAGTTACAAGTTATAATGTAAAGAAGATGCATCAATTTAAAATGAGATTGAAAAGTATTTAAGTAGTTCACATCAAGTTGCCATTATGTAACTTATTACCATAAATTCATATAAAATTGGATTCTTTTAAATACAATGACTTGTACAACACTGTGTAACGACAAATTCATATATTTTAGTTTAACAATTGCAATAAATGATATAAACTTTAATTTTTTTTAAAGAAATTGTTTATTTATTACTATAGTGATGTAAGTAAATTTCAAAAAGACAGCTACCCAACAACAATAAGATGTCATCTTATTACTGTGTTTTAGAACATTTAGAACAATATATTTTAATGGAAAACTAAAAATATGAAAATGTAATCTTCCTGATTTAAAAGAACTCATTTAAGAAGTAAATAAATAAACAATGGATATACTGATGTCCTGTTGTATGTTCATGAATAGGACAACCTTCAGCTATAAGGAAGTAAAGCTTTGATTATTATTCCTAGTTGAATGAAGACATAGATTTTTAAATTAGAAAATTTAGATAGGAAAATTATTCAAGTACAAAAATTTAAGTGATCTATTCTTTGCCGTGGTTTGAATTTGATTTTAAAAGGAATATACAGTCGTAACTAGAGGCTCCAAGGATCCTTCACACACCTGGTTTATGTATTATTCTTACATGCTATTAATGAAGACTTCACATTATATGATAATCACTATGTTATTTTTGGCATCACAACATTAAACAAAACATGCAACAGTAGAATGTACTCTACCAAGGTAAACAAAAAATGAATACATGACAAGAACCAAAAAGTTATCTAGGCTGCCATGTTTTTCATCAAATTAAAAGAAAATGAATATTTCTTATATAATACTTTTTATAATGGCCCTGTTTGCCACAGCATGAAATCAGAAGGTTTTGTAGAGGCTCTCTTCTCATAAATCCTACAAAGTTTGAAAAGATTTGGCCATGTAATTTCAGTTGAGAAGAGAATCAAAAGTTGCATCTAGCATCATGTCTTTATGGTTTTATTGTTGGATAGCTGACCATTATACGTTTATTCTACTTCCTATGTTAACAATAATGAATAGAGTTTTTGTCCTCTTTAAAAAAGAGTATATATTGTACTTCTTAAACTTAAATGTATACATATTTGCCATTCAATGTTATATAACTATTATTTATTTATAACATTATATTCTAAAGAAAACTTTCATACTTTATTGCACATAGTTAGGAACTGAGTTTCAGATATGAAGTCATTGCTGTAATGCAAGGTAATCAATGATCACACAATGAAATGCCATTGTAATGGATCTCCTGATTAACATTGCTATAAATTTTTAATAGATTTGGCTTTATAGTTTTCAGATAAGAAATTTAATTATAAATCAATCAGAATCAAGAATTACTTCAGGTGGTCATTTTTTTTATAAGATTAAAAATGAAACACATTTCATACATTATACCAATCAAACAGTAGTAAAGGGGATAAAATAAATAGTAGTCACGTTTTTGCAAAATCCTAGATGCAACACAAGTATTAAAATGGTGTTTGTACAGCAGTTGCTTAAATCTATATCATTTAATCTCTGTTGGATAGTTGTCTCATTGGCAATCAAACCACATATCCTTATTTTTCTATTTGTACCATATCTGTATTGCCTCCTTGTATCTCAATTGGTGTATACAGACATCAAACCTATGTTGTCACTTGATTGATTGATTGGTGTTTAATGTCACTTTCAGCACTATTGTGCTATTTTGTGGCGGTCAGTTTTTATTGATGGATTTAGCTGGAGTGCCCGAAGAGAACCAATGACCTTCAGCAGGAAAACTGACAATCCTAGTCAATTAAGATTGGAGTCAAGCCTACCTGTCATGTGCAGGAATTTGAACTCACAACCTGAGTTTTGACAGGCTAGTGAGACAGTAGTTAGACTACTTAGACAACTCTGCCACCGAGGCATCTGTGTTGTCACTTGAAAATAATGGTCACATGATGGAAATATTGTCTAGGCTATAATTTTGTACATGTTAAAATATTATATCTTTAACTTACATATATCTTTTATGTATTGCATTTGTAATTGATAACTGAATCCTCATAAAAATTCAGGCCAGTATTTCATACATGTATTACCCAATATTGCCCAGTATTACCTGGTTAAACCCAGTAAAACCCAGGTTTCCTCAGAATTTCCCACTGAGCTGGGCAATACTCATAAAACCTGGGTTTTTGCCAACCCTGTAAAGAGGAGACTAAATTTCAAATGTGATTAGTGTATAATTGGAAATTTAAGCAGTGGAGAAAAAATTGTTCCAAGCAGTAGTGTTATTTAACTCATTTGATCTGATCAAATATTTTTGGCAAGTGTCAATATTATTTATATTGTTGCAGAACCTTGTTGGAAAAAATAATTTTAGCCGTAGAAATAGAAATTAGTTTGATGGAATAAAGGTAATCTCTGTTAATTGTTTCTCAATCATGACCATACATGAAAAAAGTAGCTGTTAGTTGTTTTTAAAAATGGTGTTGTCGCTATTTTCTGTCATATTTGTTTTTCAATTATTGTTTTGTCATAAATCAAGCTGTTGGTTTTTTCTTTGAATTGCATTACATTTGGTCTTGTCATGGCCTTTTATAGCTGGCTATAGGGTATAGGTATTGTTCATTGTTTAAGGCCATATAGGGATATAGTTTTTAAATCAACCTCAATTGGACTCTGGTGGATAGGTTGGTCAGTATGCACAATTCATTTCAGATAGGCAGTAATGGTAGCCATTTCCTCAATTCCTCTGCCAATATAGTTAACTTGGATATGTATGATGGCCTGTTTCGAAGCTGAGACATTTTCCCACATGTATTTTAATTTCTGGGGTATAAAGTGAGATTCATTTTTATCTCAATTTTTGCATTCAAGATTTTGAAACAGCTTAAAACATCTTTCCTTGACACTTTAATATCACTTGCCAAAAAAAATGGAATCCAAAAAATATCATACAAATGAACAGAAATGCATTTACAGCTTGAAATATCATATAGACACTTGGTTTTTTTTTCCACCATGTATATTTTTTTGTTGTTGTTGAATTTGGTTGCAATTTCATTAATGTTTACCCACACCCAACAGATCCTTTTCAAATTTAAGTGAACACATATTTTGAAAAAGAATAATAAATGTTTCT